CCCCAAAACCCCAAAACCCCGCATTGTATCAGGCAAAAGAATAATTAAGTAGATGGAATTATAAATTGAAATATAAAATGAAGCAGGTTCAAACTTTTTCTCTGAATCAAAGCCTTAATATGACTTAGAACAGGCCAGGCTAATTGCCCCCTCTATACTAAAGCCAAGAGTCTACAGAAATATTTTAGATTGATAAGTTCATTTCAGAGGGTGTAGATCACTATCGAAACCTATTTTCATTTAGTAATTATAAATGCATGCATGACTGTTAACAATATAGCTTAGAGAAAAGTTGAATATGAAAACTTTAGGTTTAAGTACCCAACTTTACTAGCAATAGTGATAGAGTCAATAAACTAATAAGTTATTGATAATCAAAAGATAATTGGGAAATTTTTCTATAGATTCCATGTATCAGATGATCTTACCATTGGAGAACTCTCTGAGATTATCAAATTCAAAATTAATTCGAAGATTAGAGAAGAGGAGGAAAAGCTAAGCTAGAAAGAGAGAATCATATTTTTCAATAACAGATTATCTTGCAGTGAAACGCTTGAACTTAAAGAGGTTTATGATAAGATGCGAGAAAGTGATGGATGGTTGTATATGGATTTTCTAATTGAAGTAATTAACGGATGAAAAACAATAATTCATTGATACATTTGAGATAGTTATGATATTAAGATTAAATTTAGCTAAGAATTAATTTCATCATTTTCAATCTTCATAGAGAGTTTGCCTATACAAATGTCTGAAATAGTCTGAAAACATATTCCAATTTTTAATAACATATTCCTCTGTGATGTCATAAAGTGTCTCTCCAGTTGCGCCAAGTCTTTCTTTGAGCAAATTTTTAGTGTGGAATTATATTATGATCTACTCAATAAACCATGGATCAATCTAATCTATAATCATATTCAAGAGATCGTAAATCAAATGAATGTTCAATATAATCTTTTTATCCTCATAGATCTCTTACAAATTTATACTGGTTAGTGAATATAAAATCAGAAAATAAGTTTCCAAGCACTCATCAATATCTTAAATGTTCCATAGACTATTTTCCTCAAACTTAGGCTGTGATATCTTTTAGAAATCGATCGGTTTGTCCTAAGCTTTTTTAAATAGAGTTCTCTTCAGTTGATCAACAACTGAGTACTACAAATTCTTGAAGTCTCTCATGAACTAAAGCATACTATCAGATTTAAGGAAATCTTAAACCCCTTGATTTCTGATTATCATTCGCTTAACTTTGCTATTTAGAGTGCTGTCTTCCATTTTAAAATCAAGGATCAAGTCATGCCCTATTTTAGCGTACAATGCAATATCAATATCAGATCTTAGGTACTTATGATCCTTCATTCGGATCATCACCTGTTCAACTAGTTAATCATAGTCCTCGCAATACTATAGTAATCTGATAATATCACTTTTCTCAATGTCATTAGGTTTGAAATTTGTATTGATATTATTTTTGAATTAATGAACTATAGTATCTACAACTAATTTCATCAGCAAGGGATTGTCGACTATTCTTGCAATTAGAGTGTTGTTAAGTATAGACATTGATTTAATTATTAATGTAAAATCTTGGAGCTAATCAATGTTGATAAGAGCTTGATTAATCAAATGCTCCATTAGCTTATTGATGCATCTATGTTCATATCCTTAAAAGACGAGATCACTTAGAACTCCCAAAAAATCTAAGATTTATGAAAGCTACTATTTCTCTTGTGAAAACATTATCTTATTTTCTTATTATTCCATAAGCAAATCAGTGAACATCTCGAATAAGTTCTCATCATACTCATAGGTCTAAGTTTCATAGAGTCTAATTAAATCTTCAAAATTTAAATTGATTTCCTCTGGCCATGATTCCTCTCCTAACTAACTGTCTTATTGCATTAGCATTTGTTGCAAGAAAAAACTGCTGACTAACTTTAATGGATGAATCTCAACCCCATTATTGTGATTATTATCCATTTTAGACGATTAAGAACTCTCAGTCTTTGCCAAAATTAATTATTACTTATAAACCAATGCCTAAAACTTAGAAGTCTTTGAAAGAAACATTCTTTGAAATCTAAAGATGTACTTTTAGAGTTCAAAGTATAAGGTGGAGTTTTGTTGACCACTCAGCCTGTAGTAGAGGATGTAAGCTAGCAAGATAGATTTAGATAAAATTTCACCACTCTTAATGTCTCTATAATGCTTGTTCATATCTTTGAAGTAATTTGTAAAATATGGTACATATTCATCAATCAGACTGTAGATCATCTTGTGATTTTTTAGCGAAGTCATAACTTGAAATAGGATGTAAGTCTCTCTGTCTAGATTGAATTATTTGGATCTTTTTTATTCAAGTACTTCTATTATTTGATCAAATTCAAGATTAAAGTCAAAATTATCATCCTCTAAATCATATTACTAAAGAATCTGAATGTCACTGATATTCATTATATTGATTGACTTTCCTTGCTTTATCTGATTAAAAGCTGTCAATGCATATTATAAATCTCTTGGAATTGTGCTACTAAAATGATTTCTAGCCATATACATTTAAGTCATTTAGAAAAATCAACTTCTATTCATAACCTGCATCCTGTTTAGTTTAAGCAATTAAATTCCATTTTTAAACATTATTTTGATTAATTAATAATTAGTACTTGGTTCTAATTAATTGTACTAATCAGGTAAATCATTCAAGAAACAAAGCTTAAATTGCCACTCACTTAAATATCCAAACTTCTAACCAAGAATAATCAAATGGCTGGAAAGGGAAAATCAGGAAGAGGAAAGGGAGCAGGAACTGGAACTAAACCAGTTTCAAAGTCAGCAAAGGCAGGACTTCAATTCCCAGTTGGAAGAATTGCAAGATTCATGAAGCAAGGCAGATATGCAGATCGTGTTGGTGCTGGAGCTCCAGTTTACTTAGCAGCAGTTTTGGAGTATTTAGCTGCTGAAGTACTTGAATTGGCTGGAAATGCTGCAAGAGACAACAAAAAGACTAGAATCGTGCCAAGACACATTCAGCTTGCAATCAGAAATGACGAGGAGTTGAACAAGCTATTGAATTCAGTAACTATTGCAAGTGGTGGTGTGCTTCCAAATATTCACGTATTCCTCCTCCCAAGAAAGGGCAAGGGTGATAAGATTGATCAATCAGAGGAATGAACTTATAATATTTTAAAACTTAAAAGCTAATTGTATTAATAAAAAGTTAAATAATTAATAATATTTAATTTTGTGATGGAAAACAAACAAGAACTTTAAGATTAAAAAGCTTAGTCTCAGTCTCAAGGTAGTATTATTGGTATTTAAAACTAATTAGAGCATTCTACTATTGCAAGTGGTTCTTGGATGTCAGATCTAGCCAGTATCGATAAGCAGATTGAGGAAGAAGACTTGAGAAATTCTGTTTATAAGAAGAGACTACTTTATTTGATTCCATTCCAGTTCTTCTGCCTTTGGGGAACAATCAAGTATTTCCAAAATATCTAGAGAATTGCAAAATTATTCTGGCCAAGAAGGCAAAAGGCCACAATCTTTAATTTCTTCATTATTGGAACAGCCTAATCCATATTATTCACTACTTTCTATGTTGGAGGCAGTTGTGCTATTATGGGCATTAATCCAATAAAAGTATGGTAGAAGAAGTAAATACTGTCTGGGGGTCCATCAGAAGAGGAACTTACAATGGATGAAAAGGTTATTGAAGAGCAAGTTAAGGGAATGCGCACATCTGATGCTTTTACTCTAAGAATGTTCAAAGCTATGGGACTCTCAGAACAAACAATGGTTGCAATTGAGAAAGATTTGAGATAATAGCAAGCAAACGCTTTAAAACCTAAGCAACAATAAGTGAAATCAGAATCAAATGCTGGAAAATGAATACATCATCAAAATACATTGAGATCTAGAACTGTATAGGATAATCTTTCTTAATTAGTGAACTTAATCTATACTAAATTTATTAAATGCTAATTGAATTTGAACCCATTAAAAAGAAAACAGTTCTATTTCAATTATCTCATTTCAAATTTAGATGCAAGGGGTTTTGGGGTTTTGGGGTTTTGGGGTTTTGGGG